AGAAGTTTTAGACCCCAAGCTTTAGGAGTCTAAAATCTAGAAACTATAATAAGGTGAGCGGAAGGAGGAAGGGAAAGCCCCACTTAGGCCTTTCAAGAGCCCTACATTCGGTTGAGGGGTTTTGCTGTGACTGTTTATAAAGTGCATTTTGATACCTTCTTGGCTATTGTTCTTTTTATACAATGTCGCTCAGAAAGTGTACAGAGTGGGACATGCCAGACATCCACTGAAACAACAACAAAACCCCATTCTGGTAAATACTAATTGAGAAAGGACAGTAAAAACCACAGCACTGCAGGGACTCTGACGTACCCCTCGGTGGCCCAGACCTGCAGAATTCACATGACACCCGCACATACAGACGGTGCTGCTAAGTAAGAGAGAACCCACTCCATTCTGAAAATATGAAGATAAACTACAAATTTCCTACTCAGCCAGCCTTAAGGCTCCTTGGAATAATGAGAAAAATATTAGGTACCTGCCTTAGAGGTCAGTCTGTAATCTACTTAAGGACCAGAGTGAGGCAGACGACGTCCTCAGGTAGGGGACTGCTTAAGGTCATTGGCAGGAACCCCACTTCCAGAGATGCTTCATTTAAATACGATAGGGGGCTGACGGACCCATCCTCCCTCCTTTTTTAATTATGGTAAATGGATTGGCCTTTTAAGAGGATGGTTTACTTCTGCAGTGCCCGTGTTATCCAATTTTAATTGTTTTCCATTCTTCTTTTATTTCTAACTTTGGAGCATCCAAAACGTCTCAGCAGGAGGGCATTTTCCCATGAAATCATTATTAGTAGCAGTAACTATATATAGGCTGTTACTACAATTCCATATGAAATATGTTTCCATTTAAGTTATATTTTACTAAGTAACTGGACTGCCCCAAAAGTGGTTTGAGAAGTATATAAAGGTTATTTTCAATGGGAAGGGATTGCTTGGGACAATAAGGTAGGTCAGAGTAGCTTTACCTGGTAAGTAGGATTAATCCTGAAACTAAGCACTCAAATAGCACCTAATGATTTTGAAAACAAAGCTTGAAAGGTAATGAACATGTTTGTTGCTGGATGTGGCAGAAGAGCCAGGCTGCGGGGCGGAGTACGTGGACTTAGGGTTTGGAGGACAGATGGATGTGCTAGGAGCTCTGTCCACCAGTGTGTGACGCTGGCAAGTCTCTTCGCTCTTCTGAACCCCGCATCGGCTCTTGTGTAAAACAGAGAAAACCAGGCTTTTGCACCCTCCTGAATGAGGACATAAAGTGCATTGCCGAGGACACAGCACATGACAGAAACACAATATAGAGTGTGGCAAATGTAGGTTTGCAGTTGTGTATAATGAAAATGATACAATAATTAATAAGTAAAAATACAAGAATACACTCTGTGTTTTGTGTACTCACAATGGTAAACCTCCTTTGCCCCACTCTGTAAATGGCGGTTCTTGGGTGCCGCAAGGAGGGTGTAAGAGTAACATTCCACCACCTGAGAGGCGGACATGAATGTTCTGGACCAGAGCAATTCTGGGAATGTACAGTGAAGTCAGGATGAGAAAGGCCAGGCAGGGAAGAGCAAGTTGGGGAAGGAAGCGTGAACTCTATCTCCTGAGCTCAGACTGCCCAAGGAGCCTCGGCACATGCAAGCCAACACCGGACCAACGCTGAGTCAACTGGCCTGAAGACTTCTGAGTGAGCTTTTGCTGCAACAGAACACTTTGGATCATTTCGAGAATCTCCTGGGAGGTACCGATATGTTGCAGTACCTTCCCAATTCTGATACTGTCATAGGATTCATCCCCAATAAAGTGTGAACATGCTCAAGCTGGCCAGCAGCTGGGAAAACTGGAGTTGGTCAAATTGACCTTGAGTAACACGAGAAGGTGGTATTTAATGATGTAACAGACAAAAATCCCCTCGCAGAAATGAGGTAAGGAAGGGCCTGAAGGGAACTGGATCAACTCATATCAAGGCGGGGCGGGGCCCTGAAACCCCAGCTCGACACAGATTACCTAGGGAAGTTCTCTCACACTCGGTGTTAGTAGTGCAATGATATCAAATGGCAATGGTTGAGTTTCTTCAGTCTACAACCTATAAAATTTGCTATAACATTTGAAACACAAGCAAGTACTAGTTTTGTTTTTGTTCCCATTTCCTTTGCACACAGCCCTGACAGTGAAATTTGGGGGTAATTTTTCTCTGGGAGTCCTGTTGCAATGCTGGTCAACCTCAAGTTACCATAAGTAAAATGAAACTGTACAATGATGAATCCTATCATCTGAAACTGATACATAGGTACCCAGTTATGGCTTAAAAGGCAAGAAAGAAAACTAAATGGTGGGTCTTTGACATCATCCCATTCAAGCTTCTTCATTAGAGATGAGAAAACTGAGGTACCAAGTAGATTGAAATTTTTGCCAAAGTCCCATAGTTGATTAGGGCTAATCCAGGAATTTCTGCCTCTAAGCATCAAACAATAGTTATAATGGGATAAATCCAGATGACGCCATTCCCATATATAAGGAAAAAGGAAGACAATTTTTAAAATGCATAAATAATTGTTTTAGCATTATCTTCCAAGACTAGTTTAAACATTAATATTATTGGATAATATGGTTATTATAGTATCACTAGGGCCACTGGAATTTGATTTTTCTAATTTAAATATAGCATCAACTTTACAAGCTTGACACTCTCTGGTTCTGGGAGCTCTTCTACGCTGACAGTGTGGATAGAAACTGGCACGACAACACTAGATGATGAACTGGGAAGCTGCTACCAAAATCTGAAAAACATCTGCCTCTGAACCAATGAGCCCACCGCTGAGATTCGGCCCTATGGGTGTACTCACAAACGTATGTATCAAGAATGCTCACTGCACCAGTTAAGATCCGCTTTTGAATGAAAATGCAAGAGAGCCTGAAGTTTCAGAGTATCACTTGGAATAGAAAAACAATGAAAGCAACCCAAATGTCCTCCAAAAAAGGGGACTGGTTAAAGAAATTACAGCATACGCACATGAGGGACTATTGTATAACAGTTAAAAACAATGAGGTAGATCTTTATGAGGAAGGTAAGAGCTGAGTATTAAGTTAAAAAAAAAATCAAAGTACATTACGTGTGCGTGTTTGTAAGTATATACAAACTTTTTCTGGAAGAATACACAAGAAAGGTTATAATACTTAGCTCCCAAGAGAAGGACTCAGAGGGACTTTCTCTTTTTATTTAATACTTTCCCTTTTTGTATAAGCTATATAATACCATTTATTCTCTTTATACAATTCTAAAAATTACAACTATACCACCTAATAGAGGTTATTACTTTTTTAACTTGGGAGTTAGAAAGATACTAAGATAATAAGGGAAAAAAGTGGACCCTGCTTTGTATTTTTAATTTAACCCCAAATAATAAATCCAGTGAGATTAAGGCACAGGTTTGTTTGAAATATAATGAATTTCAAATTCAGCTTGAAAAAGCAGAAACAAATCTTCCTTTTCTTGACTTCCATAAATTTTCAGTCCAGAACCCCAGACGTTCTCTTAAACAAACCATGGTCTATTTCTTCACACAGCAAGAAATCTTCCACGGTGTTCGGAGAATAAAGACAGGCTTGGCCAGGATGCGCCCATCCCCTTCCCATTCTGCTCCCCCAGCACACGGCCGTCATCCCCTCCCCCACCTCCTCCTCCCACCTCTCTGCCTGCTGTGACCTCCCCCTTCTCCCACCTGCTCCCTAGTCTTTCTTGAGCTCTCAGCTCACTGAATTCTTTCTCGGGGACTCTGATGCCCCCCACCTCCTGGGCATCAATCTCCATTTTGTAGCACCACGTGCTTCAGAGTACCATGTACCTTTACCTCAAGTTTACACCAGGGTTTATATTTCTTTGATTAAATCTGTCTTCTACTCTAGGTTGAAATTTCTGTAAAGACAGTGGGAACATCTGTTTTTCCTTAACAGCAGGCCCCAGTACCTGTGACAGTGGCACACCTCATAAAAATGTAAATAAATGACAATCGAATAAAAGAATATGGTCCATACCTCACACCAAAGCCCACTGATCATGTTAAATGAATGAATCAGACTGGGTCCCTCTTGGGACCCTCTAATGTCTTCCTCACCATTGCTTCTTGAGGCCCCACGCAACACCCCTGGAGCATCTCTGCCACTTCTTCCCCTTCCATTTGGCTCCAGCCCCACGAGCCTCCCTGCCGATCCTGGAATCCCCCAGGCACCTTCCCACCTCTGCACCTTTGCACACACCGTTCCCATTGCTTAAAAAGTATCTCCACTGACATGGGCACCACTTACGTCTTCATTTCATTCCGGCCTCAGATCAAGTGTCACAGCTTTAGAGGGGTTTCTGCTGACCACCCAATCTGAAAAGAGTCCACGCTGTCCCTCCTTACCCCTCACACTCCTTCATTGTCTTTCACTGTGCTTATAACAACGTGACATTATGCCAAACATGAAATGCAATTATCCCTCTACGGTCTGTTTCTCCTACCTAGATGGAGTAGGGATTTTGTTTTGTTTTAGGCTCCATCCTTAGCCCCAAGAGCACTGAAAACCCTCAGTGAATGTTTGTGCATAGACATATCAATACCAACACCTACACAGAGAGAAAAAGCCAAAAAGGACAAACCAGAGACAGGGTTAAAGTCTGCTCCTTTCTAAGCCTAAACACTAGAAGCATAACAATCTTAGCTGGATTCAGGGGCATTGACCACATTTTATTTTTCTTAATAAATGAGCTAGATGAGTAAACATTCTCAAACCCCTGACTAATAAAGCAAATGGCATTGACAATGAACTGTAAACAAACTTGTGGATGATAACAGGCTTGCTTGTCCTTTTCATTCATAAACTAAACAAACTGAATATGGCTTTAAAAAAAAAGAAAACATTATTCTAAGAGCAACAGATTTTATGTACTATACTAAAACTTCCATGTGTGTATCCTAGTGTGTGTATTTGACAATTAAAAAAAATAGTCAAGTGTTTGCTTACCCATTCTCCTAAAATGCGTGACACGGCTTCATTGGCTCTTGTCATGTTCCTACAGGCCAAGATCACATGAGCACCGTGGAGGGCAAAAGACTTGGCAGTTTCAAATCCTATGGTTTAAAGGAAAGTCAACATTAGAAAACACAAATACAAAACACTGAGTCTTGATGAAAGGGCTTTATCAAACACTACATATTGTACCCAAGGGGTTCTCAACCAGAAGCAGTTTTGCCCCTTAGGAGACAGTTACAAAGTCTAGAGCTATTTCCAGTGGCTGCAATTGGGGATGGCATGCTATAGGCCATCTAGTGGATAGAGACCAGGGATGCTACAAAATATCCCATAATGTACAGGACAGCACCCATGACAGATAGTTATCTGGCCCAAAATGTCAACAGTGTTGAGGCTGAGGAACCTGCCCCCAGAACACAGTGATTTCAGAGGTGAAGGCCAAGCCATACTCTTGTATTATGTGATAAAGACAGATGTATATATAGATATAGATATACATATACATATACATAGATATATAAATATAGATATAGAATTATCTCTAGATAGATAGATATAGATATAGATATATCCAATAATAAGGTGCTTTACTTAACCCCAAACCCAAATATATCTGGAATTACGTTAAATATAAATGGCCTAAAAACTGCAATCAAAACATATGTAACATATATACACACAAATATATAACTAATAAAAAGAGGTTGAGCTAGGCCAGTCAGCCAATAAGAGCCAAATTTAGAAGCCAAGTTGAGTTCAGGATGCAACCCATTGTGTCAAAAAAAAAAAACAAACCATCAAAATATTGTCAGACTGGATAAAACATACACATACACTATGCTCCTTACAAAAGTGTGTGTGTTATGTTTTCAGACAGGACATAATGATAAGAAAGTTAAAAGTAAAAGAATGAGAAGGGATGAACCATGTAAATACTAACCAAAAGAAGTCATGTAAGAGAAAAAGCTGAATATTTCATAATACTCAGTTTCAATCCACCACGAATATGTGACAATTCTAAATCTGTATGCACCTAACTCTGTGTGTCAAAAACTTATAGAATTAAGGGGAAAAAAAAGAAAAATTCATAATCAGAGTGAAGGATTTTTAACATATCAATAATATAAAATAAGCAGTCAAATACGAGGTATACAGAAGATTTGAACTACACAATTCAAAGCTGGAAATAACTGAATAAACACTGAACACAACAGCAAAATATACATTCAAGTACTTAAAGAATATTTATCAAAATTGACCACTTGCAGGGCCAAAAGCAAGTCTCAACAAATTTGAAAAGATTAACACTGGAAAATGTGCCCTTGGACCAAAATGGAATAAAGTTAGAAATCAATTACTAGATCCTAGAAAATTCCCCTAACTGAAAAGCAAGTAATACATTAAGTAAATAAGAAATTATGACTCCAAAAATTGCAATAAAAATTATAAAATATTTTAAAATGAAAAATTACAAAAACTTTGCATATCAAAACTATGGCACATAGCTAAAGCCATGCATAAAGGACAATCTATAGCCTTACATTTGTATATTAAACCAGAAGATGAGCAAAGAGTCCATTAAGAAAATCTTTAAAGCAGATAATTAAACCTAAAGAAAGTAGAAGGAAGGTAATAAAAATAAAAGGAAAAACTAATAAAGATAAAACAATCATAAAATACGGAGAAAGAAAGAAGCCAAAAGTCATTTCCTTGAAAAGAAATTGATAAACGGCTAGCAAGGCTTAGAGAGAGAGAGAGCATGAGAGTGCACAGCAGCTCACAAAACACACCCAAATGGCCAGTATCAGGGATGAATAAAAGGACATCACTACAGATCCTACAAACCCTAAAGAGATCTTAAGAAGATATGGTGATCAACTTGACACCAATAAATTTAAGATACAGGTGAAAAAGACAAAGTCCCAGAAAGACACTACTTAAACACTGACCCAAGAGGAGAGAAAAGAAACAAAAAGGCCCATATGTATTTAAAGAGAATTCTCAGAACGAAAACTTTGGATCCATATATCTTGAACAGTAAAGTCTACCAAACATTAAAGAAAATTAGAATATCAACTTTACATCACCCCTTATAAGAGAAAAAAGAAGAAAAACAATTATTTTTATAAGGCTTAAACTCATTAGTTATGAGGGAAATTCAAGTTAAAGATACAGTGAGATACTACTACATAATTACTATTACAATGGCTGATTAAAAACAACTGAACACATCAAATGTTGCCAAGGATGAGGAACAACTAGGATATATATACATCACTGATTTGAAAAGGAGAAGAGGAGAGGGGAAGGGAGAGGAGGATGGGGACAGTCTAGTTTCGGAGCTTGAACACCACACCACTGCTCTGGAATGTAAAATACCGAGTCTCGCAAGCTATGTGGAAAACCATACGAAGCAGGGGTCCCCCAACCCCAGGCCATGGACTGGTACCATGGCCTGTTAGGAACCAGGCTGCAAGCAGGAGGTGAGTGGCAGTGAGTGAGCAAAGCTTTGCTCACATTACCACCTGAGCTCTGGCCCCTGTCTCCCCACAAACCCCCCCGTCTGTGGAAAAATTGTCTTCCACAAAACTGGTCCCTGGTGCCAAGAAGGTTAGGGATCAATGATATAGAATACACTGCAAACACAAAGAAATCAATTTTACTAGGAGAGGCAGCAATGCAACTCACCTGAAGCCTTGTCAAATGACCATGTTATTGTTTCCAAAATAATATTAATATGTGTGAAAAATCAGAGTATCATTATCTTGCTGAGATTGCTGTGTGAGTCTAGCAAAGTTCATCCATTCATATCCCTTCCATACATCTAACCTCCATAGAGGCCAGCCTATTTATATAAACTAGTTCTCAAGGGAAGCCAGCACAGCACAGTGGAACATTCAAACTCAGGGGTTTGACACACTTGGGTTGATCCTCGCTCTAGCTATTTATAAGTTATGGGACCTAAGGCTATGCCTTTAACCCATCAGAAACTTGGTTTTCTCTTCTTAAAAAGGGAGGGCAAATAATAAACATACACTAAGAGCTTCACATAACCATAGTAGGTGGGAAACAAATGTTAGTCCCCAGTTCTTTCTAAAATCCTTGCTGTAAAGCCTTTTACCACCTCTCTGATTTGTATGACCTACAAAATATACTAGTCTTTATGACTAAAAAATTAAAATTCTCTCCTACATCTGCTTCCAAGAGCTGACTGGCTTTAACATCAACCAGAATTTAAAGAAATTAGCTACACAATCCACCATTCCATTTGTCTAAATACTGGAATACACGTGAACTTCATTGTTGAGATAACCTGAGTCATTTTTCAGATTATTCCAAGTTCCATAGCCCAAGACATTCACTTTGCATTACCTAAAGATAACCTCCTGTGCTTGACTCTGATGTTAAAATAATGCACAAGAGATTTCATATCTGAATTATTCGACACCTATATTCTCTTGCCTCCTCTTTGGTATATGTAGTACAGGTGCTTGAAGCCATATTTCCAAGCCAGGAGGCAAGAAGACAATAATTGAAATTTACTCTCTTCGATCCATGATGCCAGTGCCACCCCTTGTCCCCAGTGAGCAAAAGGTGCACACCGACATCATTTGGGAAAAGAGAGAGAAGGGAAACACCAGGTTTTGCCGCCCCACTGTTCCAAAACTCAATGGGAACAGGCACGGGACAAAATCTTGCTGACTGATGGGCTGCCCCAATCAAGCTAATGCAACACTGACAGCCAAATGGAGATTACGTGAAGGGGCCAAAAACGACTTCACTTGAATCCCAGGACTTTACACACCCAGATCTTGCTGAAACGATGGATACTGTGTCCTCATGAAATGTCCAGGTCAGAGCAGTCATCAGAAATATTTATCATCATGTTTTCATCAAAGCATAAAAAGAAAAAAAAAAATGACGCAGGGGAGAGGGGACACATGGTGGACACAGTGCTGAGTCATTTCTTAGCAGCCATACCTCTGACGGACTGAAAGAGCATCCACACGATGCAGGGCCAGGCAGGGCTTTGTTTACCTAGTTTATCAGGTTACCTGTAAGCACCCTCGAATCTTTGCCTTTTTCATCTCTGCGTCCCAAGGGACCCACACTCAGTAGGAATCAATAAACATCTGCCAAAGGAACGAATGGTTCTCACAGATTGTTAATAAGCTACAATTCTGGATGGTACTAAAACAATCCAAATTGTTTCAAACAATTCAGGGGACCCTCTAACTTCCTTTCTAACAAATAAATATTAAAACCATGCAAAGACACCTCTCACTGCCGTCTTGAATGACACTACCTAGAAATCTGCTGGGGGGAAATAAGTCATGGCCTTTTTCTATCAAAATTTATTTTCCCAAACAAACCTGTTAAGTCATGCTACCTCGCTTGACAAAATAACCTCTGGCAAGGGACTTTTTATTGCCAGAAAGAACACATCTGACATGATAGCAGCAACGGGCTGTGGCCACAAGTTTGCGCCCGGTCTCCTTTAGGTCATTCCTGACTCTGGTTATGGTTGAGCCATCTGTCCCTGTGTCCTGGGAAACTACACTGCAGGCCTCTCATCTTCCTTTAGCTAAGCAATGCCTTACATGTTGCTAGTCTACTCTTAAAAGCTGCAACAGACAACTCCATTTCCTTATGGTTTACAATTGCCTTTGGAGAAGAAACAAAGCATGGATATTTCAAAAGATGATGGCTTACCAGGAAGGACCATAACATTTTTTATAGTAAGCCATATTTCTGGAGTGTGGACTTTTAGAAAAAGTTTAATAATGCTACCTACTGCAAGAGTCCTGGACAAGCCCAGGAGAATAGCATCCCTCGCTCCTAAAATACCACAGCTGTGACCAGTTTAATTAGCTAAATGTAGTAATGCTAAGCCAGTTCTGCACAGTGCCAAAGTTTGTGCAAAATAATGAAGGCAGAGGTTGACTAAATTTAATAACCTGATTCATCTTATAAAAATTTAACTTTATGACAATGTTTACATTGAGCCAGCTTAACTGCACTGAGGTGGCAAGACTGCGTTCAGAAGAATATTTAAAGCTAATACTACAAAGAAAATAAAGAAACACCTTTTAAAACA